CCTAGAGGCTGATCCAGCCATCTCTCCTTTGTGCTCTTCACCTAACCCACAATTAAAGATTCTCTACCACCCCTGCCATGAGCTTTGTGACACTCTGGTGTTGTGGGGTCTTCTGTTGTTGGTTTTGACTTTTTTTTTGGTCTGGTTGGGTTTTTCCCCCTTTAATAAATAGGAACAAAACTCACATCTCTGGCATGTACAGAAACAGAAATCCCTTCTCTCAGGTAATCTTCCTGGCTGTAACCTGAAGGCAGTTCCTTTCCAGGTGCTCCAGATAAGACAGAACTCATAAGAAACTTCTTACCTGCTTAGCCATGGCTAGTTTCTTCTGTAAATACTCGATTTGTTCCTCTACTGCTCGAATCTTGCGGAGGGCATCCTCATCTGCCATCTTTTTACTCTCCTTTTTCTCCTTGTCTTCCAATTCTTTCACCCTCTGCCTCAATTCTTCCAGCTACAGCAAGGACAAAACAGAAATTACACTAAACACAAGAATGCGGCCTGAACATTGTTAAAAGCCTGTTTTCCCCACAACTCTCTGAAACACTGGATAAGCTACTTTCAAAGCATGGAAAAAGAAAACCTATCTTGACAGGACAGTATGTTACTGGCAAATGGACCTTTTAAGATGGGCTGTCAACCTAAGATCTTGATTTCAAAACCTTTGAAAATTCCATAGCCTCTTTTATCAAAGTAGGCATACTAGTCTCTTGCAGTTAAATAAGTAAGGTTATGTGGATGGAGAACATCTGCTCCTTAAAGACCATCTGGTAAAGCACCTTTTTCAATACAGAAAGGGATAATAAGAAAAGGAGGAAGCCATAAACAAAACATACAGGAACACAAAACTGACAGACAATTGATAAGGGAGGCAGTGTTGAGAAACAAACCTGGTCAGCTGCACTAACTGATGAGAGCTGAGAATGTTTCTTCCAGCAAGGTTATCTGTGTACCCCATCAATTAGGAAACTAAGGGCAGGGAGAGGAGGCAACCAGAAGCTAAATATACAGACACAGACCTGACAAAACAAACATGGAGACAAAGACAAGAAACAAATCTCCCTAGTCACACTAGTTGATAGGCTACCAAAAAACTACATGCAAAACTTTCAGGAAGATCAACCTGGACTTTGCAGCAGCTAAGACTAAACCAGGGGTGGATCCCGGACTGGGAGGGCTGTAGGAATTGGTAGAGCCATACAAACTCAGGACGGATGTGCAGGGGAAGGAAGAGCAAGGATTAACAAATTGCAGTTAGACAGAGGGTATAAAAGGAGCCAACCATATGTAAAATGAAGGCTGTCAATACACATTTGTCTGGCTCAGCCCTGCACATGATCACTGCAGTCTGTTCTATCTGCTTATTAATGATCTTAACTATCTGTGTGTAATCTAACTCTCTAAGCCATGCATATGTGTGCTGCATGGAGTAAGCGCTAGCTACACAAGAGACCTGTATGTGAAGAAGCTAAGAGAGGGGCTGTGAAGAGGGAACATGCTGGTACTTGAGGGATCTGCAAATGTGCATGCTTGTGAACCTAGAGAGTGTCATGCATGTGCATGCACTAGCTATGTTGTGTCTCTACCAGCTGAAGACGTGGAAGGAGACTTGCCTGTCTATGCTTGTTTTATTTGAGTCTCGTATTTATGTGCTGTTGAAGGCAGCACCCCATCTGTGGCAGTCTGACTGGCCATGTCAGCATCCTCTGCATGTGTGTGTCTCTGGGACACGTGCTCAGCTTTGCTACTGGTTGAATCTACAACTGAGAAAGCAGCAGCCATGTCCCTCAGCCCAGGCAAAGGGATCACCCCTTCCCAGAGAAGGACATCCTAAAGTCTCCCTGTTCATCTCCAGACCATTCTAATCTCTCTTCTAAGTGACAAAGATGAAAAGAGGAACAATCTCTAGTTCTGAAAACAAAAATCCAATGTGGTTCAGGTGCAGAGTATCTGAAAAGAAGTTTTAAGTAACATACTGAAGACAAAAAGGGAAGGGAAATGAGACTTACCTCAGCTTTTGCCTTCTTCTCAGCTGCCATCAGCTGCACTTTGTCTCTCTGCTCTTTGGGGGCAGAGCGGTACATATCTAACAATAGCTTCATCTCCTTCTGGCTCTCCTGAGCCTTCCTGGAGACCAGGAGACAGACAACCATAAGAAGACAGCAGGAAAGCTAGGCTGTGACATATCCAGCATAAGAGTCACAGCAGTATTCTCTCCATCTCCCACATGGCATGCATACAGAGCCATCCTTGGCTCACCTTACCACAGTCAAGGAGTACAGGCTGGAGGCTAAAAAGAAATGTGTTCAGGGACATATGGGTTGAAAAGCCAAGAAAAGTCGAGTGGAAAGTAAACAAGTACCTTAACAGGAAGGAACAAACTATTCATCTCTGCTGTGGTACTGATCCATGACAGAGAAGACTACCGTGCATTTTATTAATAACCTGCTGCTGTAAAGCTTTATGCAATTGTTATGACAGCAACAAATAAAGATTACTGGACCAACACCATGAAGTATCTGGTTTGGTAATTCATCCTTCAGGCTGTCATAGGACAAATGGTACTACATTGTTCAAATCACAATCAGATACAGAGAGTGCGAAAAACCTCTCACTTCAGTGAAGCTAATCTCATAAAAGCAAACTACAAGTAATCCCATACAAACACCTCAGTTAAGGCACCACTAAGCAGGAAAGGGAGGGACAACAACTCTTACTTGAGCTCAGCCTTCAACTGCTTGATTGCTTCAGCCTCCTTCTTTCTTCCATCTTCATGCTTCCCTTTCTCCTTCTCTTTGGACTCTCTCTCCTTCTCAGATTCTTTCTGCTTCTGCTTTTCCCGCTCTCGTTCCTTCTCCTTTTCTTTCTCTTTCTCTCGCTCTCTCTCTTTCTCTTTTTCCTTCTCCCGTTCCCTCTCCCTCTCCCGTCTCTCTCGCTCCCGTTCCTCTTCATCTCGCCTGGCCTTCATTTCATTAACATCTTCAGAAGCAGCCTTGGGGACAGCCACTTGGGCAGAAGGATCTTCAGGTTCCTGCTTGATCTCTGGAGGTTCCTCCTTTGTGTCTTCAGTGCTGGACTGGGACTGCAAGAGAGCACTACCACTGCGAGAGCGGATCTGTTGTGGAACAGCAGGAAAGAAGACACAGAAGAAATCAGACTATTAAGTTCTTAGCCAGAAATCTACCTTACCCCCCTTCCCTTGTCTTCCCAGATTCATGCTTCCATGCCTCCTCCATAACTGCTATTACTTTTCATGGAGCACTATACAGCTACAAAAGGAAGACTATTTATTTGGTGTGTTAAGAAATATTAATTGTCTAGCTTAAATAAGTAAATTTTAAATAGAATGAATCACTTAGAGTCAATCATTTAGCATTTTAACATAGGGGTCACAACATAATGTTGAGCAATTTGATATACTGCTTCTTCATTACATGCTTAGATGAGTAGCTAGATTTGTTGAAGTCTTAGGCTGCAAACTGTGAACTTTCACTTAGATATGTCTATAACTGGGATAGAGTTGTTTCTTAGTAGCTGGTACAGAGCTGTGTTTTGGATTTAATATGAGAATAATGTTGATAACACATTGATGATTTTGCTAAATAGTGTTCTTCCCAAGTCTGGAACTTTTTCAGTTATGGCTAGCAAGCACATACACAAGAAAGCAGAAGATCAGGAGGCTACAGCCATCAGCAGAAGCTGCAACCCAACAAGGAAAGAAGAGTTTATGGAGTGCCTGGAAACAGAAAAAGAATGCAATACGGAGTTAGGAGACCCCAGACTAGAAATCACCATTGTACCAAGAGGGCACGTGAAAAGTGCATGACGAGCACATGAGATTGAGTGGATAGATGACAAGTATATAATTGCCTGGGGATTACTTTGTTCAGGATTCCACTCTGGAGGCACCCAGCTCAAACTGATTTTTCCTGGCTATACTATTAGAATAAATTATTTTTTAATGTGTAAGATTTGACACCTGAGACTCTGTTACAGGAAACCTAGTGTCTGAGCTAAGAGGATAATGCTGGGTGTAGAGCCCCATCAAAAATTACACTGCATCCCGCATGACATATCAAAATTGTTGATATTGCAAGCAAGAATTTCCCTTTTATCGTGCTTTGATACCTTGCTCAAGTCAGACTGGGCTTCTCTCAGTTTGCGCTTGTATCGTAACACCTCTCCCTTCAGTTGGTGGTTGTGATTTTGGAGGCTGCTGATGAGATGACGCATCTCTCGATTAATTGGGCCTACAGAAACAGAAACACAGCTGTAACAAACCACGCTTTTGCCAACTTTCTGCAGGGACTTTGATGGAGATGGAGAACAAGCTAAGTGACAATGACAAAGAACCAAAATAAGACTATTATCATTCTGCCACACAACAAAGCAACACAACACATTTAACAAAAATGTTGTGCGAGTTTTACATGCGACCGTAAGTCCTCACAAATTCCTAGTCCTAATGTCTCTTTAACTTTACTTTCTTCCTATATTCCCCAGGGAAACATGTCATGCTAAAAAAAAAAATAATTGTGATTTAAATACTACTTTAGAAATAACTTATTTCCTCTGATGAAATTTGACAATTACTGTTTCCTATTCAGGTTGTCATTCCAGACATGTAAATGAATCCCCCCCAAATAATTTTGAGCAGTGCAAAATACACTGTCATAAAACCAAATTATTAGCAAAACATATGTATTTTGCAACATCTAAAAGGAAATCAGATAACATGGAAGTGACCTCCTATAAAACATATGAGGAGCTTTGTTTTTCGAGACAGAGACCTGCCAGAACAAGTATTTAACAATAACAGACAAAGAATCAAACCAGGTGACTTACTGCAATGCAGCCTCTAATGGGCATTGCAGCAGGATTGGTTGTTGCATTTAAGCACAGCAGAAAAACTTCATACCTGCTTGTTCATTGGCAGCAAGTGTCTGCTCAAACTCTATCCTCAGCATCTCATATTCTTTGCGGACTTGTGCCAGGGTGTCCTCTAGCTGAATTACCTCTGTGCGTAGTTTCTTGTGAAGGCTGACCTCATCCCTCTGAGGAGTAAGAAGAGGACAGCACACTGTGACTGTGGAGCATCTCTCACCTCATCAACATCAGGTACCAGAACAAACGAATTATTGCCAGGAAGATGTATTTCCTGAGCATTTCTAGAGCCACCCACACCCGGCAGTGATGGTCAGTGGGATGACAGTGCTCCCCAGTCTGACAGAGCAGAGGTGCTACCTCGATCAGTTCCACTTGCCGCTGGTGTGTGGTACGGGTGCCATGAAGCAGAGTGCGGGCCTCATCAAGATGTGCCTTCAGCTGCAGACTTTCATTGTACAAAACAGAAAACTGGGACTGCATGCAGCGATATTCTGGGGTCTCCTTCACAGCCTCTTCCACTGCTCGTCGCAGCTCAACCTAGTCAGGACAAGAAATTGCCACAAAAAGAAAAATCACCTCCTGGTCTTTGGCATCTATTTTGACAGGTAGGAAAGCAGTGAGTAAAGCTGCCACAAGAAACAACACAAGTAGACATTTAATAGCATTGCTATGAAGATGCAACTAATATGCTTCAGTACAATTTTAAAAGTTAACACTTTCTGTGTATGCATTAGTCTGCTTCTCCTGCATAGTGATATGACAAGACTTTTTGATTCTCAAGTTCTGCAATAATTTCTCACAAACAACAAAATATACCTTTTCAATGGATTTACTGTAAAACATAATCAGACACATGGAAAAGTATGACAGAAAACTAAAGAAAACACATGTGCAAGTAGAGATTATGTTAGCTTTCTACCAGTAAGAGACAATGACTGAAAGGAACAGAAATGAGAGAAAGCAGAAGTATAGAATGTTCCTCACAAAAAAAAGATTTAGATTATTTTTCTGTAAGACACTAACCTACTATAGAGTCACAGCTTTTTGTGTTACCACCATTAAGACATAAGAAAAACGTATGTTGTCGCCTATATATCCATTCTAGCACACTGGGTAAGATTTAAGTTCACTGACTCCTTCCAAAGCCCAGCTCTCCCTCAAATCATGTTCCTTGATTTTTTCAGTTCTCTGGTTCCACTTGCACAAGGCGGTAAGGGAGGCGGAAGAGGGGTCAACACTAGTAAAGAGGTGAAAGTAGTTTTAACATCATTAAAATGTACTGAGTAGATCAGAATGGAAAGAAACCACTACAATTACCAGTGATGACCACATGGTGTCACCAATGCACCAAACACCAAGTGTAAGTTGCACAAACTTGCTAAATTGTACCTTGAACAAACTACAAACCAGCTAAGGCACAAGCACAGAATAGAACAGTATTCTTTCTGGAGACACGGTACAAGAAGAGGGCAACCAACCACACAGAACACTTTCCTCCTCAAACAGGTACAGATGCCTCACCTTGAGTTTTTCATTCTGTGTTGTTACTTCCTCAAGATCCTGGCGTAGTTCCTCCAGCTCATTGAGGCGATTTCCAGCAAGCTCTTTATTCTCTTCCAGTTCTGCATTCATCTCCTCAAACTGTTGGGGATAAACTGCTTGTAGATCACACTGCTAATGTATCTAGTGAGGGGACTAATTATGTGACTCTTTATACATTAAGAGACACTACAGACTTAATAGTCAGGTAACATGACCATGAGACAAGAGTCTACCTCCATCAGGTCAGTTTCATAAGCAGGAAACTTGTACAGACAAAATAGCTTGCCCAGAGTGATACAGATTTGTAGCAAAGGAGGTATCTAAATTCTGTTCCAATCTATGGTCCTACATACAAGCTCTCCTTGACTTTATCCTTCCCCTTGCCCACAGACAAGCCCCTGACATTACCTTGCGGGCATTAATGGTGATTGTGCCCCCATAGAGGCTGCTCCCAGCTCCATACACCTTGTAGCCTTTGGAATTTACCTGTAAAAAAGGCAACAGATTTCATCAATAACCAATTAAATGCCAAGACTGCTCATAGAGTATACTGAAGATCAAAGATAGTCCACTACAGATTCTCACTTCTCCCAGCAAAGTACCATAAGATGATGTCACGTGTCAAAACTACACCCATTTCTCTGGTTTCCTGGCAAAAAGGATGGTGCTTACTCGTTCCAGAACATCTGCTAAGTGCCGGTTGAGCCTCTGCTCCCTCTTGCGTATCTTGTCAATATCCCACTGAAGGTCATCAATCATAGTCTCCAGAACAGACACCCGAGATTCTGCTGTCTCCACTCTCTCTTGCAGCTTGGAGAACTGCAATCAAAAGAGTGTTTCAGCCAGCACATTTAAGAGAATCAACATTTTCTGATACTGCTAAGTATTAACTTTTTTATTATTCATCATAAACTGGATTCAAGTGCTTTTCACCCATCTTTTGCTGTGGTGACAGACTACTCAATGAACTGTCCTGAATTTTACACTGGCTGAAGCCCAACACAGTGATGAACCTTAGTTTATTCAAAGGCATTTAAAAAAAAAATTCTTTTCAATCCATTTGTTCATCTGCTCTGCAGACCACTAAAGTGCTTGGTGATCTAACACTCAGCAAGGCCAGTGTTAACAGTTTTTAAAGGAACTGGAAGGTCTGAAACAAATACTACCAATAACATGAACCCCTTAATGACTTGGATCATCTTGTAATTACTGTTGTTACACTTTCATATATGACCCAGAGAAACCAAGGAGTTTGCAGTGACAGGGATGTCATACCAAGTGTCTCGAATGTTTACACAGCCACCTTAGAATCACCTTGCCACTTCCTCTGCTCTGTTTTCTTTTAAAATTAAATCCATTCAACTCACTAGTTTGGTCATACTCTTTCATTCAGTGACGTAACAAGCAGATCAATCCAAATTACACAAAAAACTATGTACAGTTCTCCACACCACCACCCTTCCCACAACCTTTGTAAAGAAGGCAACTTTCAAACTGTGTTGCTCCTATCTCTCTCCAAGACAATAACCTGCTTTCCAAACTACAGTAACTATAAATTATTTTAAGGAGGACCCAAAGCAGATTTCTTTCTCTCTCCTTTCTGTACCTCCTGAGACATGATTCTGTGCTTTTCCTGAAGAACATCAGCCAGCTCCTGCAGCCGTCCATTTTCATGTGAGAGGTAGGTATTAAGCTCTAGGACTGCTTCTTCCATCAATGAAATATCTGAAAGATACATGAAGAAAAAGAAATGAACAGAAATCAACAATGATGGCTGTTAATTCTTAAACAATAGAGAGAAAAAAGCAAACAGAAAAATAAAGTTTCTCGGTTTAACTTCTGCATTTTGAATCTCTTCAGTGGGTGGTTCCTGTGGGTCTGATCTCCACCCCTACAGAGCTTTGACTTGCATTCACTAAGCAAAAGGCTTCGCAGTTTAACATACTACACATTTCTGACTGTCAGTTAACATCCCCTAATGTCAGGGATCATTCCAGTTGTGTCAGTATCAGCAACAGAGAACATGCCCTTGTAACCCAGTGACACTCTAATGCAGATCAAATTCATGTGCAAACCTGCTACAACAGAAGGCTTAAGCTAACATCCCAGATGACAATTACAGCAACTGAGTACAGCTCACAGTGTATTAATGCTAACGCTACTACAGAGTTTAAGACTGACAACTAGGGACAGTAATGCTTTGCTACACCAATGCTAGACCTGCCAGAGCTTCGTGATCAGAGCATACAGAACACTCTGGACAGAAGGTAAACCAAGGATAAGTTGATTTTCCCACCTAAATTTTCATTCAGAAGATTAAAATCATAACAATAAGTTAATGGAGTTTTTCAGAGAGTCATCCGAGTCTACATTGAATCTCCTACATTAAGTCTCAGAAATGAAGTAATTTGGCTTTCTTCTGCAGAACTCTGCTTTGTGTTCAAAACTGACAGCTCTGCTACGCATACCAAGACATTAGATGGCTACCATTTTGCTCAAAACTCAATGGAAATTGAAAAGCTGGTTATTCCTAAATATTTCGGAATAATATTTACTAAACTGCAAGTGAGGTATCCAATGCCAGTTTGCAATACTGATCTCATTTCTTCACTTATAAGCATGAAGCCTATTATGCAGTGGCAGCTGGGTGATAAGGTTCAACTGCAATCTGTAACTTCTCAGGTGCATGAACACACAAACAAGCCCTTCCTTATCCCAACACACTGGGCAATTCTCAGCATTTCAACTTAGAGGCAGTCATAATACATGTCTGGCATGCAGAACTAGTCTTTATTTGACGTTTTGGTTATTCAGAGTCTGTAAAGCTAAGTCAATTTATTTTGGAAAATAAATGAGCATGAGAAAGACCAGGCCTTAATGCTTACGATGCAGAATCATGGCTAAGCTGGCAGTAGATGAGGATTCCTGAGTATCAGCCACCTTAGTCATACCTCCACTATTCAGCTTGTGAGACAGCACATCCACTTTCTCCTGCAGCTTGTCGTACATTGTCACAATTTGGGCAACAGCACGGCGGGAGGACTCTACGCGCTCCTGCAGCTGAGATTCTATCTCCTCACTAGTGCTGCTGGCAAGAGTGGCTAGGAAGGAAAATGCCGGCTCCAGTCCTTCACCTGGGAACAGAAAGAGGTGCAGGAAGTAAATGTGCTCTGGGAGGAAACATATTGCTAGTCTTCACAACTAGAGAGTCTCCGTCACCCTTTAGAAAGGGACATCAACATTGCCCCCAGT